AGAGAGAGAGAGAGAGAGAGAGAGAGAGAGAGAGAGAGAGAGATTTCTTTTGGATAAATCGATTCAAAGTCTCTCCAAGCTAACTAGTCAGCAATGCCCTTTGCAGTATAAAGCTATACAAAAGGATACAACCATGTCTCTAGCTCCTTAACTTTAAATGTGCTTCATGACAGGAAGTAGCCTGACTGGGACATATGACCTCAAAAGGACTGAGAGGAAGCCTGGTAGCAGGATGAGCTGCCTACTTTTCTGAGTCACCTTAGGACAAATGAGTCTCCAACATGAGGAGGCAGGAACAAGGTGAGTTTCCCTGGCCCTTTTTCCTTGCCTGCAGATGATGTCTCTGGCGTCATCTTATGATGGCAGAAAACACCAGAAGATTGCCCAGGGAGCATCAAACAGTCTAGCAAGGGCATACCAGGGCTGTACCAGGAGTCTGACAACATCACTGATAATTGCGGTTTCCTGAGGACTCCATGTGTTCTCACAGCCCGTGCTGTAACTTTCATTTCTGGAGTCTCAGGTCTCTGTTCCAGTGAAGGAGTCCTCACAGGAGCTGGCTGCTCCACCAGTTTCTCAAATACAATTATTTTTATGATGAGGTTCAAGGAAGCTCGGGGCATCAAGAGGACTTCTCAGATCAATATCACGTTCACAGCCCTTCTCTCCAGCTCCCATCTGTTAAAGGACGAGTCAGCCTGGGTGGCCGTTTTCCATCCCTGAACCATGCTGTAGGTCAGCAGCTGCCCTGCCTGCCTCTCTGTAGTGCAGGTGACCTGCCGAAGTCCTGGATCACAGCTGACTAAATGAACTGGATAATTAAAAGAGGGGATGAGCCATGCCTGGAGATTCTGTTTGCCTCATCGAGAACACTGTGCCCTTTTTATCAATCTACTTGGGGTTTTGTTTTTATTTTTCTCTCTTTGAAAAATGATTAGCCTTGAAAAACTTCCTAAGCATGGCACCATCCACCATTAGCTGTCAAGGCCAAAGTCTTTAAGAAGTTTCAAATGGCTTTGTACTTAGAAAACTCTAATAAAAACTAGGAAAGGGAGCACGGAGATCAGTAACTTTTTGTGCATCATAAATCAAAGCACCAAAGTTTTCTAATAATTAATGTTTGTATAACAATAATGTGTTTGTCTTAAAATGTATGATCTGGTAAGGATGAAGGTGGGAACAGAAATGAATCATCCTTTGGTGATTGTTGTCCCTGTGCAATTTTCAAAAATCATATGATTAACTTATGTATGTTGATATACACACATGCTTATATATCACCATACACATGCATGTACATATGCATATATGTAGAGATACACTGCGCGTGTTGAAAGTGAAGGTGGGGGGGTGGTCATCAGTTACATGAAAGTATAACTTCCTAAGTTCTGTCAGCATTTTACATTTCTTCCAGGAGAAACTTTAATAAGCAAGGATGCTAAATTGAACCTGAAAGAGAACTCCTTCTCTCCTCATCGTACAGTGCTCAGAAGCACCAGGGAGGTGGGGTTCTATGGTTCTGGGTGGGTAAGTCACATAAAAATGATGACTGCATCAGCAAGGGTGACTTTAGACAAAGATAATACAGTCATAACAACACAAATGCAAAACATCCAGTCAGAAAGGACCAACAGGACCCCCGAAAAGCCTGAATAAATCCCATAGAATAGAATCAATTTCAGAAAAGTAGCCAGGGCTTGGCTGGTACTTATCATAGCTCTGTAACTAATGTCTGCTCCAAATAGAAATTTCAAATCCTTCTACTGATCTTCCTCTTATCCATTTGTCTCCAAACCTTAACTAGAACACCTTAGCATCCTCCATGAACATGTGCAGATGGGAAGATATGACCAAAAGAGGCCAGCACTGCTGTACTCATCAGACTCTGATCATGGAAAGCACATTTCCATCATTGTCATCTGTAGGCTAGCATGATGCCAGACAACCTCATCCAAATTCAAGCCTGCCATTCATGAGTTTGGAACCAATGACTTGGGATCACTGTGAGTCAGTTTGTGCCTCTATATAATGGAACAGTGATACTTCTATATAGTGGGATAGGTGGCACATCTCATATGGAGCACTGTGAAATACCAAATAAATTGATACCTGACTATAAAGTCCTGACAAGAATGCCTCACAAATAGTTCTCAAAAAATGACATTAAATTTACTATTACTATGTTGGTAAAAGAGTGAATTGTGTGTTCACCTCTAAAAAGTTGAATGTCAATAACAAAAGGAACTAAGGCTGATCTCAGTGCCCAGTATCCAAGTTAACATTCACATTTATCATATTACATACATACAATACATGTGCATATGTGTCCAGTGAGAAAAATGACTTATCACTGGACAAGTGATGCTAAAATCAATGTGTATGCACACTTGGGACAGTGGCTAACTTTTGTTCAATTTTCCTTCATGTTATTAGACACATTTAGATGAATTTAACAGAAAAAATTCTGTCTCCTCTCTCTTCAGCACAACTTGGGCCTGGCTCTGCAAAACCTTTACTGACTTCCCTGCAGCAGAAATAAAACTCCAAGTGGTTTTTTTTTTTTTGATTAAATGAAGCAGGAAGACATAACCAACCAACAAAACCACACTAAGACAATGACCACAGAAAATAACATAACACCTTCCACCTTCTGAGTGGGGAACCCACATCATTTTGCCAGGAAGAACAAAATGACCTCCTAAGGAGTCATGATGCATTACAGAGCAGAAATGCATCATGGGAGGGGCAATAGCAGTTGTAAACTTGACTCCATATATTAAGGATGCTTATATTTTACACTAAGGAAACAATAACCTGAATGTTCTACCCATTTGAAGCACAAGTATAAATGATAAACATTCAGCTAACAAATTTCAAGCATAAGATTTTACCTTCCAAATATCAATTCTTGACACAGCCACTAAGGCCAAGGAGAATGATGATTGTTGGGGTAACCTTCCATCACACTAGAATTAGAGCCCAAAGCCTCCAGGAGTTGCTCAGTTGAGATCCACAGGTGATGCTCTAGTTCTACAGCATCAGCACCGGCAAGCCAACTCTATGCCATTACTTAACAAGCATCTCATTTTGACAACATCTATAATGTATATCTGGTCAACTAGGCAGTGACTGTGACTCTGGGGCCTTGGGGAGAGTTAAAGAAAAGCTGCATGGTATACTGGAAAGTGTACAAGACAAGTCGTAATAAAAATAAGATGTTAATAATGGATTATATTTGCAAGAGCCTGAAGTGTTAAGGGGACTTTGTCGCAACTGTATTATCATTAAAGGCAATGACAATCAATAGGATAGGAATTTTTTGTTTCCAAGAAACTACAGCGCCAAAATTGTTCATTTAGAAAGTGAGGCAACAGAAGCTGATACCCAGGCAAACTGGGGGAAAAGACCAGGCATAACCAAACCTTGTCAGCATGTCTCTAGCTCATGACACTGCCAAAGGCCTTCATAGGCGTTGCCCCCTCCCAGCCCCATAATACCTGTCTGTCCACCTGGGCATCAGATAAAATTGCCATCTTCATCATAAACATGAAGGAACTGAGGTTAATAGAAAATAAGTGACTTGCTTAATAAAGTGTTATTAAAAAGATGGCCAACTCAATTTTGACAATGTATTGCTTTAGTAGAAGTTACCCCAGAGTTTCCTGTGATGTGTTATTACCTTCAAATGTAGAGGGTCTATCTTAAATCCACCTCCAATTCTAGCATTTAATGTTCCTGTAACTAAAGACTCATTCCATGAGTCATAATCCACCACTGCCCACCTTCAAGACATCCTCTAGCCTCCTTATACCAGACACGGGTCCTTCATCTTCTCTCTTTTCTCAAGCACCTACATTGTTCTTATATCCATCTACAGCCAACCATGCCCCGTGGATTCTAGTGGCTTTGTGCCTTTCTGCTTAAAACGTTCTCTTCACCTAGCAAAGCCTGCTGAATTTCACTATCTACCCTACCCTACCCTACCCTACACACACACACACACACACACACACACACACACACACACACACACACACACATTCCATGGAGGAACAGTTCTCAACCCAGTAAGATGGACATGACCGTCCACATCACGTGCCACCTGTCTATCTCAAAGCCTGTTCTGTTTTCCAGCTCTTCCTTGGTGACATGCTTATCTCTCTCTGCTGACCACACATCCGCTTGGGTACTCAGCATACAGCTCTTCTTTCATAAATGTTTGCCTAGTGAACAAAGAAAAAGATAGATGTCTGAAGAACGGTTTACAAGTTCCAATTTGAGCATTGAAGTTGTAGCTAGCAGACACACACACACACACACACACACACACACACAGCACAGCACAATTCACTGGTGGATCTAAAAACATTAGAAGCTAAGTATCTAATTCCACCATCACCCTGCACAACTATTCTCAGTCAACAGAGGTTAATGAATATCCAGGAAGTGCCAGGCAGGGGTCTGGGAACATATACTCTCCAATAACCAAGACACGGTCTCTGCTCTATTAGAGCAATGATGCTAGGCAGGAGGCTGTAGAGTCAGTCTATCAATAGCTGTTCTGCAAAATGGCATGTGCTAGGAGAGAGAGCTTTCACACCACACAGAGAAAGAGATGGCGTTCATCCTTCCAGCTCATCTCTAATTAGACTGGATGAAAGGAAGGAAGCACTTTCTTTGGTTCTGTTTCACCTTCTTTAATTTACATAACTAGACAAACAAAACCACACTTTGTTAAAACATTACAACTTAAAAACAAAAACTAAGGTGTCCAAAGGCATTCTAAAGCCCCCCTTCTTTTTAAATACTAGTTTTTGAGGAGCTTAACCCACATATTCATGTGGAAGATGGTATCAGAAAGGAAGTTGATTGTCTTAAATACCTTGAAAAGAACCATTCTGAGCGCACACGCACACACATACACACACACATACACACACACAAACACACACACACACACACACACACACACACACACACACACACAGAGGAACTGAGCAAGTGAGCTGAGGCTCTGCAAGGTGATGAGGACTCATCTTGCTGAACCCTTAAGACCAACCTCTCTACAGGGTATATGAGCATCCTCAGCAGTAATGAACCCCATTTATGTGAGTGAACACAGCACAATGAAGCTTGTCACTAATCCATACTCGTCCTCTGCCTTCAGCTTTTCCTGAGTGCTGAGGACACTTTGCATGAATTATCTCAGTGAGTCTTTTCAAACATCCCTATGAGGGTACTTCTAGGACTAGCCCCGTTTTGAGAAAATGCAGACTGTGGCAGACACATTGACTGTTAAACAGTATTGTGTGGGTTTAGGCTCTTGAAAGTGGTGGAGTCCAGTCCATCTTCCACTCATCAATTATCCTCATAACTTTGTGAAGCTTCGTATACAGAGCAGAGAAAGAAAAAATAAAACCTCCAGTATCAAAAATGATCACCGAACTTCATTTGGTTTTTTTAAAAGGCCATCATTGCTGGGAAGCCTGCTTTGATGATCTCCTGGAGCCCCGGTGTCTCTGCTGGGACCATAAACAGCATTCCCCTCTAAGTAGTTAAGCAGAACAGAGCTCCCTAGGCCTGCAGTGGCTGCTAACAACGCTGTCACCCCCACATTGTTTAGTCAGCGTTTGTTCCTCAATGACTTTCTTCTCCTGCTATGTGCTTAGGTTACCGAGAGAAATCCGAGTGCCTGCTAATGCAGAGCATAGCTCATGTGAAATGTTTGCTTCCTACCTTCTGCTCTCCCGGAACTGACCTTCCCACCAGGGGCCTGAAGGTAAAGCTTCATGCGATTTCACGCTCCATTCAAAATCTGGTGGAAGGGCTTTCCCACATATTCCTACTCAGATTTTTTTTTTCCTCCTAGACAAACAGCATCCTTTCAAGGGTTCCTCAGGCACCTTCCTCACTTGACCTACCTAATTTGGAGCGGTCCCCAGTGCCATCTTGGTCACGGTGTTGTTCTGTGACAGCTAATACATACGCATACATTACTGCTGACATTTAAAAACATCCCGAACAGTTTGCGTGAGGACATGGTAAACAGATGCTATGGGATTTTTTACCCATTATCAGTCATCTCTGAAGACTGCAGTCAAGTGACAGGTTTTTGAGACTTCTCGGTCTAACAGCAAGAGATTTATTTTTAATAGAATATTGATATTATGGTACAAAATTATATTTGGTGTTTACTTTCTCCCCCTTCCAGCAATGCAGTTCAGCTGGGTGGGTTAGTGTGAGGCCCAGGGACCCTCTAGTCTCTCCGTAACTCTGTTGTGGCTTTTTTTTTCCTGGGGAGGGGGGAGCCGCAGACTTTTATGAACTGTCTGATTAAAGCGCCTCCATCTGAATGCAGATTAAAAGTTCCAACACCTGAGAGCTCAAATCCAATGAATATTTATACCCCAAACCAGCAGATGAATACACTCTAAATCTTCAAATGCGAGTCTAGTCATGGGTTTTATCTTATTTTAGGACTTACTTTTTATTAAAATGAACTCTTGCATATTTACACTACAGAAATAAATGTTATTTGCAAGCACAATGCAGGAGAAACCTTACAAAACGCATGGCCTGGGGGAAAGCAACTTTGCTCTTTGGGCAAAGATTTTATTTCCTTCTCGGGTCTTCCTTGAAGAGGAGTTTTGGTATAATTTGAGGCCCAGAAAATACATTCATTTGGAAAGAGCATTTGTTTAGTGACCCCCTAAAATCTCATGGGACTTTCCCCGCAAGGCACAGACTTTGTTGACTTAATAATTTCTCAGCCTCATCTTCACAGGTTGATTTGTCTCTCTGTCCTGTGGCTTTAACACATTTGGGGTTTATGTTTAATGTCCCACCCGACAGTTGCCAAGTGCTTCTTGTACTAGAACAAGGAGCGGGACTCAAAATGTACCCTGAGGTCACTGTCTGCTCCTCAGTCCACATTACAGTACATCCATGCTGGCCCTCAGAATGATGTTCTCAGAGAAACCGTGAAGTTTGTCGTCAGACCACAGTCTGGGGAGGCTCACACTGCACTTCCTTTCCTGTCTTCTTCAGCAGTGCAGGGGAAGTCAATTCTGTCACGAAAGAACACCACAAGGTA